TCCTCTTCCCTTTTTACTCAGTATGGAACTCTAGGAATGGACTTTGCATCTCAGTTGACTCAAACAGGCTTATTTACTCAGAGATTTCACATCCTTTCAAGATTGCCATCCATGTTGACCATCACATAGCTATGTTATTCTCTAAAGGACCAGCCATGTTCTCTACATGTTCTGTATGGCCAGTTCAGCCTACTTGGTATTGGCTCTGTTGGGAATTCATTATGACTAATGTCTCTTCAGCCATTAAAAAAAAAAAAAAAAAAAAAAAAAGAATCTGTCACAGTCCATGCTCTAAGAATTCTAAGATGGTGTCTAGCTCTTATAATAATGTGAAAAACAAAAACAAAAACAAAATACATGTCAGAACTCAATGTTTTTGCTACTGTTAAGAGCAAAAAGTCAGTAACAAGTTAATTCTCATCATGGAAGGTTGAAAATAAGTAGTGATAAAGCCAAATATGAGGGACTATGCACCCATTAAAGACAGCAGGATGTTTTAACTAGTAAGTTGCTTTAGGAATACCAAAAAAAAAAAAAAAAAAGACTTGTAAGATAATTCTTCTGGAATAAATAAGTTGAAAAGTGATGCACTTAATTTTATACACATTAAACCGAACTTGCAGTTTAACATACTGATGTCATGAAGTACTTGCATTTAAAAACATCCTACACACTCAACCACTATCTGCAGGAGTATTTTTGCATGTGGCAATGTATAAGTGGCCACACCAGTGATGAAAATGACCCTCATTCCCCCAACTACAGTATTCTTCAATAGTCCTTTATGGTGTGGTGGGATGTCAGATGGCCTTCCCTCATCCATGAGGATATCAGGGGATGGTACTGTGCAGGTCTTATGCAGTGAGTTCATTATTGAAATGGCTCTATCATGTCCAGATACCAACTTTTCTCCTGCATATTTTTCATTTTCTGGTTCTTACATTTTCCAGCTTCCTCTTCTGTGATGTTCCATGAACCTTGCAGAATGACATAGCTGTCCCATTTAGGATGAGCACCCCACCATCATACTCTCAACTCTGAGGCCAACTACTGATTTCTGCATTGCCCCTACTCCAGTAAGTAGCTTCTCACTCAAGTTTGTGAAAGCAACGATAATTAAATTCAGTGGCTACTGACAAAATAAAGACATGGAAGTAAAAGGGAGGCTTACTGAGATGAGGCCTAAAAAGAGAGGGCTGGGATGAAAGACAGGAATGGAGAATTGTTAAAATTCCTTATAGAAATGCATGAAACAATCAAATAATAAAAAGTTAAAAACACTTTGTCCATGTGATAGATACAGGAGGATTCAAGTGCTAGTGACATGAAAACCTCTCTTTTTTATTCATATATTCTGGAACCTTTGAATATCTTATAATAGTGGTGTGTTTCTTTTTAAATAAATGTTAGAGTTACAAATTCACCAAAATAATGAAGCGTATGCATCATTTATAATGTGGTAAATCAGGACTTAGAACTGCAATGAAGTTTGCAGAGCAGACAGGGTGGACAAAGGGCTCATCTTACAGACTCAGATCTTAGTGTGAGCTACACTTAGCAGTAAACCTTATATGTAATTTCTCAGGAGCTTTCCACATTGTTTCTGAAGACAGGGCCTCTCTTTACTCACTCACTCTTTGAACAGTGAAAGCACAGTGCACTCACAGGAGGCATACACACTTCTCTCTAACATAAAAGTCGATTTGAAGACAATGCCAGATAGATTATACATGAGAACCCAGTGGGTAACAGCCCTGCTAACCACACAACCACTTAGAAATTTTGCATACATGATTCTAAAACAAGCTACAAGGTAGATTATCTTAAAAAACCAAAAATATAAACATTAATGAGAGACATGTTCTGAAGTGGCTGGCTGCCAGAACCCCAGGACCTGCCTCTTTCTGCCTGTCCAGAGCTGAACCCTCAAGTGCTTACATCATGATGAATTTTGTTCATTTGTTGGTTTTATATTTGCCTCATTATTTGGATACTGGGGATCAAGCTGAGGTTTCATTGTTGTTTGCTGAACACTATTGAGTAAGTTATCCCTCCAGTTCTATGAACTACATTTGAAAGAGTGTGAAAAGCTAATTAAAAACAAAAATGCAAATTTTAAACTTGGAAAATAATTATGATGATATCAGAGAGGAATAATAGCTAATAATATAATCAATGTAATCAGTTAAGTCTGAACCCGATTTAAACCACCTGTCAAAGAAGAGAGGTAAATATATGTCCAAGAGTAACCACTCATTCATGAATGCAGAATCATTCCAGAAACAATCTCTCTGAGGCAGAGAGTTAAATCTCCTCTACACAGCAGCTTGCGGGTCCAGCGTTCCCTATAATAAAAAAAAAGAAACGAAAGAAAGAAAAAGAAAGAAAAAAGGAAGGAAGGAAAGAAGGAAGGAAGGAAGAGAGAGAGAGAAAGAGGGAGGGAGGAAGGAAAAGAAGGAGGTAAGTAGGGAGGAAAGGAAGGAGAGGGGAAAGAAGAGAGGGAAGGAAGGAATGTCTCCTAAAAGTATACAGCATTTTGAAATTAAGAATGGCTATTTTGCCTATCAGATGATAAAGTGACAGGAACACTGCTTTATAAAAGGACACTCAAAGGCAAATGCAATGACTAGATCTAGAAACCGTCAAATCCTCCTCACTTTCTATTGTAACAATGGAAGAAGCAGACAGAAGCTCTGTGACAGACACTTCACTTTATTATTATTATTATTATTATTATTATTATTATTATTGGAATTTGAAGGAGAAAACTTGCAATTATGGCTCTGGACTGTCACCAGGAGACACCCATGGCAGTATCTCCCACCTTTAACAAGCCACACAAGCATGCTTTCTTCACTCTCTGCTTTTCACTTTCTCCATCTGCAAAGCTCAATACTCCCCTCTACACACCCCATGTCTAGGATAAAGCCATCCCCTGGGTTTTCTTGCACACCCTCAGTGATTTACCAGACTGTTTCAGAAAACTCCTCCTTGTGGGTTGGGAAGAGAGATGGTTCAGTAGGTAAAAGTGCATATCACAAACACAGGAGGATTTGAGCTCAGATCCCCAGAAACCACATGAAAAAATGTGCTTGTATTGCTCCGTAACACTATGACTTTCAGGAGTATACACGGATCTCACTGGTCAGCCATTCTACAAGTTTATTAAAACACCTGAGTGGGGGGAGATGAATGTACATATCCATACTCAAAATTATGCATGCTACACTACAAACATACATGCACACACATGTGCGCACACACACACACACACACACACACACACACACACACAATATTATTTGTGTATATAAAGCAAGGATCCAGAAATGAGAAAAATGTAAGATTTTTTCTTTCTGTGATTTGCTTAGTATGATTAAAATAATTATCACCAGTTAACTTCCTTCACAAAACAAAATTAATTGCATTCTTTACAGCTAACTTTATGTGCCTAGACAATAATTTCCTTTTTACATTCTCTGATGTTGGCTATCATAATTGATTTACTTACACCTTTATTCCCCTCTCCTTATTATTTAGATTTTGACTGTGACAGAAACCCTTGAGTAATCAGGCTCGTAAAACAGTTTGTCCCTTCTTCCTATAGGTTCTTCATTCACAGACTCAAACCTCTATAGACAGAAAATTCCTAAAATAAAATCATGTTTATACTGGACGAGGGCAATTTTTAAGTTTCCCAATATTTCCTAAACAGCATGGTAAAACATTTGAAGGCTATTACTCTTATGAGAGATAATAGAATAATCTGATGATGATTGACTGAGGGATGTACAGTTTTATATAAATAGAATTCTGTATGAACTATCAGAATATCTGTGTATTTTAATGTGAGTAGTAGACCTGGAATCAAACACCAGCAGATATGAGGGACAAGTATGGCCACTGATTGATCTAAATGAGGCCTCCTTTCATTTTAAGCAAAGTTTCTCCTAGAAATATTAATTGGGTGACATTTTTCTCCCTCCTGCATCTCCAGCTTTGTTAAGCCCTCTCCCCATCTTTCAGCAACCATATAACACTTACTCATTTTCCTAGTTTACTTGATCTCATTGGAACACATGACAATAAGCACTCAGTCACCTAGGCCTATCATAATAGAGCAAAAAGAGTCAGTCACAAGCAGCTGAGAATTTGCCTGAGGCTCATGAGAAGCCTCACTTAGCAAGAAGGAAGAGGGATGCTTCTCTAATGTGATTTCAGAGATTCTGCTAGACTGCTTTCTGGAATCCTTACTGATGGCCCTGATCTACAGTCCCGACATCAGAAGTCCCTCCGGCGGAGTTACAAGGACCCTTTAGGCTGTTCTCTTCAGTCTGCATGGCCCCTGCTACTATGAGTCTTCCGGAAGTTGTCTTCCGGCTTTCATACACATAAACAAACTCATGCATGGCACTCACAAACACAACAACACATACACGCACACCAAACACACACACACACACACACACACACACACACACACACACACATACACACACAAACAAAGGGGAGTGGTGTAGAGAAAAAAAAAAAAAAAAAAAAAAACACTGACTAAATGTCATAGCTCTTGTTACATTGGATTTGTTGCTTAAAATGGAAGGTTCCGAACACGAGGAGATGTTGACACAGACCTCAGTATCACTCAACATACAAGAGCAGACATTTTACATTTTTGATATTTATTTTTGTATATGAGTGCCTTACTCTTATGTGTGTGAATTATGTGCACTCAGTGCTCACAGAGGCCATAAGAAGGACTTAGATCTTTTGGAATTAACGACAGCTGTCAGCCAACAGAGGGCTGCTGCAAAGCAAATCCAGGTCCTAGGGAAGAGCATCCATTGCTCTTAATTGCTGAGCCAACTTTCAGGCTCCCAGGTCTTCCCCCTACCCTCCTCAATTCTTGATAAATTTGTTATTTGCACCTTTCTTTCTTAGTAGCAATTTTGTGCATCCGTTAACATTTCCTGTCACTGTAGGAAAACTGAAGTTCTCCTTACCATTCATCTGTGTCAGCGTCACAGTTGCAAAAGGGTCGGATGTCCAGACAGCTCTCCTCTAGGCCACATCCGCACTGCTGGACTCCAGGAACAGAACCTCCCCAGTAAGGGTGCCGTTCATTGGACCTCCCAACCCACCAGGTGAATGGGGCTCCATCTGAAAGACAAGATGTTTCCGAAGTGAGGAGAGCAAGCTGAAAGGCTACAGAGGACGCACAGTGGTCTCTCTCTGTCTCTCTCTCTCTCTGTGTGTTCATATACAGTCATCTTCTCTTCCCTCCCACTACATTCCGATACTTTCTTCGTTTCATTTTTCACTTTTATTATTTATCTCTTCCAGTTCTCTATATGATTTAATATGCAGACTTATGCACACATACAGTTGTGCATGTAGAAAGATATTTTTATTAAAAGAACATCGTTAAATACTGATGAATGACACCATTAATAGTCAGGGACATAGACTCAAATAGATAACAGAATTGACAATATCACACCTGCTTTATTTGGATCAGCTTTAAAAATTTAAAGCCATAATTTATTTTTATGTGTTACAATGCTAAATTTACAGTTTAAATAATGCATAATATAACAATTTGGTATAGTTTTAAGCAGAATAAAGGGAAATATTCAGGCTACAAACATCCTTCTTTGCAAAACAAGTTTTTTAAAAAGTAACTTTAAGTGGGTCAGTGCCAGAAGTATTTTCAGTGACAAGTCATGTCTGAATGCTCTTCTACAACAGTAAGTGTAATTAAAAAGAAAATTGAACTTTCACAACCTCTGCCTCAAAAGAACAACATAATTTAGATACTTTACAAATCCCAAGATAGTCTACTTCAATACACAGAGAGATAAATTCACATATCCATCACTAAATGAAAAATTACAATGACATCAAAACTAGAAAAAAATAACTTTATATTCTCTTTCATCATCTGTGTCATTTCTCCTGTATCTGGTCTTCCTCATCATTTTAGTCACCTAATGCTACTCTCTTTTGGTCTTTCTAAATTTTAAATCAGCCTTTAAACAAATAACACAATAACAATACTCAAACCTCTCTCAATACTCAAACCTCTCTCAATACTCGAACCTCTCTCTATCTTTATATGTATAAATATACATATATATGTGCATATATAAGATGTGTGTGTGTGTATTGAATGATTTTTCTTTGAAATTGTTCAAGACAAAATAACACAGTAAGGGCCAAGATTAGCTAAACCCATGTTCCTTTTGGTAGACAGTAAAGAGGGTGGACATTGAGGTTAAACAGAATGTAAACACATGTAAAAGGGATCCTGACCTACTTTCCATTGATTTTTTGTTGTTGTTGTTGTTGTCGTCGTTGTTACAACAATACCAAGAGCAAAGTAATCTTATGCTCTAAGAGAAGACATGAGCTTTCAAGTAGATAAACTTCAGGAAAAAATAGTTTGTGAAGATCATACCCTGGTGAGCCAAGGAAAATGTTTTGAAATTAAGATTTACTGAGACAGAGGGCTAAAAAAAGAATAACTAGTTTGGGGTCCTATTTCATTGTTATCTTTCTGTTGTCTTTAATGATTGTGAATACAACAGTAGCTTATAGCTACTATTCAGAAAAATGTTAGTATATCCCAAACAAGAGCTGACACAGATATGGACGCCCTGGACAGCATCAGCTGAAGGCACTAGGTCTGGCTTCCATTGGCAATGACTTTCTTTTCTTTGTTTTACTTGACATAAAGACACTAGATACTCAAAGAACATTACTGCTTCTCTAACTTAAATGCAAGATTTAAGATTCTTGTGTTAGTGGACTTGGTGAGTGGCATGCATGCAGAAAGGGGAGGGAGGGTGGGATCAGGAGGGGAGGAGGGAGGGGCTTATGGAGGGATACAAAATGAATAAAGTGTAATTAATAAAAAAAAATTAAAAAAAGAGACCTCAAACAATTAAAAAAAAAAAAGAAAAGGGCAGGAAGAAATACATGGATCTATTTTTGGAGTATCTTTGAGAGATACAAGATTTGAGTAGAGATGGGAAAGGAAGTCCTTCACTATTTTTATGCCAGAAATTACCAGGAGGCCATGATTCTCTTGGCAGCAGAGAAAATGAAAGCTTCTTGACTGTTGAGCAAGAGCAACACAGGGGTATGTAGGAAGCACTGTGACATTATCTGTGCTGGGGCCTTACGATGTACTGCTTTTGTTCTAAGCCTAAATGTCAAACTGCAATGCAGCCTCACAAGGAGTGGATACTGAGAAGCCAGGGTATAATAAATAACCAGGCCACAGCAGATGACAATGCAGCCACTCCTGATGAGATCTGATAGAATAGGATCAGAAGGAAGGAGAGGGGGACCTACCCTTTCAGTGGACTTGGGGAGGGGCATGTATAAAGAAGGGGGAGGGAGGGTAGGATCGGGTGGGGAGGAGGGAGGAGTTTATGGGGGGATACAAAGTGAATAAAGTGTAATTAATAAAAGTAAAAAATATATATATATAAAAGAAATAAATACCTCAAAAAAAAAAAAGGTTCTTCTGTTGAGGCTGGGGATATAGTTATCTTGACACAGAGTGCTTGCCTAGCATGCAAAAATCCCTGGGTTGGATTCCGAGTACCACACACATAAGCCAGGTGTAGTGGAGGAGGCATCTAGTTCCAGCACTAAGGATGTGGAGACAAGAAGATCAGAAGTTCAACAATGTCCTTAGCTACCTAACATCCAGAGGGTAACATGGGGCCAAGAGGTACTGCCTCAAACAAACCAAACAATTCTAAAGCAGTTGCAAATTTCTGTTTGTGCTACTATGTGGAACATTTAACCAGGCAAGATCTTGTTCTGCAGGGAAATCCTTATTTTCATACATGCTCTATCTACATATAAAAAGCATCCACTTTCTCTGAATAGTCCACACAGCTAAATCTCCCACAAGTCTTTGAAGCAAACAGGCAGAATGAAGACATTCTGCGGTCCAATGCTATAAACCATGAGAAAAATGGCAGAAGGTGTTTATAAAAAGCATAGTTATTTTGGGGTGCTGATTCCTTAGAAGATCTGGAAAAGTCCACCTTCATCTCATACCACATGTCTTAAATACATCCCCTTCAGCACTATCTTTCTTATTAGAGTTTCCTGTGTGGATGTCTGCCAATTAGGACTCTTCTCTCAAGGTTATCATTAATGACACAAACATCCCCCTCATTTCAAGTAAATCAATCACCTTTAAAAACTTCAGATGAATTGCCTTTCTCCTAAACCCCTGGCCAGACAAGCCACATTCAAGTGTCCTTAACAGCTGACAGGTCAGTTTCTCTTAACTGTACACAAAGAAAGAAAAAGGAAAAAAATAAAAGAAAAAATATTTAAATATATTCATATATAAATATGTGTGTATGACAGCTGGGGACTCTTTTTTTTCCCCTCCTAGCTTAACCAATAATTATTTCTCTATCATTGTAAAGTAGTGGAGGGAACAAAAAATGAAGAAAGTGGAAGCCACAAACAATACGTGGTTGGACTTAATTCTCAACTCAATAACTTAGTCACGGAAATTATGGACACTTAAGCTACAAATTTTGGCCTTTGGAGACATTGATTTTTTTTCTATTGATAGAAAACTGTTCCATAAGTGAAGGAATAAAATACTCTTACTTAATTATACTTAAAATATAAGTTATTGGAGTTATTGAACAAACATTTACTGAGACTATTTTTATCTATTTTGGACGCTATTTTAAGCATAATATCAGGGATAAATCACAGGAAAAAAAATCAAAGCAAATAAACAAGGAAAAGCATGCCTCTGAGTTTGCCTTACTAACAGGGAAAATGTATAAGAATTCAAATTATGTAGAAATGAGTCAAGTATTCATATAACCAAAAGTGAAAAATCTTTTCCATGATTTAGTTACCCAGGTATAAAAGTAGGGAAAATGAATATTTCTAAAATCAGCAATGATGCTATAAGAAGCATATAAATGTTTTTGAGAGACACAATAGAACTCTCCTAAAATTAGAGTTCCAGAAAATTCAGAATATCTACACTCTTGCATTTTGAATGCAGAGTGCATGTGTGTCTACCAATTTAGCATCTTTACCTTGTTCACATTTCTTTTATATTATTATTATTATTATTATTATTATTATTATTATTATTATTATTATTGCAATTTTTTCACTTTGTGTCCTGGCTGTGGCCCCCTCCTTCGTCTCCTCCTGGTTCCATCCTCCCTTCCTCTTCCCCACCTATCTCCCTCCTTTAGTCCACTGCTCTTTCATCACCTTGCCTTGGCAAGGTATGGTGGCGTTACTAGGACACTGAGAAAGTCGATCCAGACAGTCCTGATGAGACTTGGTAGGCTAGGGTCAGATAGTACCTTTCTGATCAGTGGACGTGTTTACATTTCTAAATGGTTATTTTATCTTTAAATGTATACTAGGTATTTGTGGCAAGATGTTTCGCTCCATTATCCCAAAGAAAACATGAAAGAATGCAGCAGCTTTTCAAAACAAGTCAACAACTTTGGCTTTTATTACTGTGTCTTTTATTACTAGTAGTAGTATTATCTGATGTTGTCCCTATCAGAACATTATATATATATATATATATATATATATATATGCATATATATGTAATGTGTATTATATACTATATTATATATAAATATATAATATATATGTAATATATTATATGTTGTAATATTATATATGATATATATATTAAGATATTGACACCAGAACCTGTATACCTTAAGTATCTAATGTCATCCCTGGAATTCCTGTTTTATAGTCTCTATTTAATAACGAGCCATTAAATATTTATTTACAACTGTCTTTTGTTCCGTTGTATATATTTTGACCATGAGATAATTTAAATTTCTGTAATATATTCTTAAATTGTTTTCTATTTTTAAATGTTTGCAGTTTTGAACACTGTTTTTCAATTATATTTTCAGGAAATAAAAAAAGAAAAAAAAAGAAATTCAAATTACAGTCTGGGGAGAAATATCAGACAGTCAAGTGATGGCCTTGCAAGCTGAGGACCTAAGAAATATAGGAGAAAGAAATTAAGAAAGAAATTAAGAAAGAAAGAAAGAAAGAAAGAAAGAAAGAAAGAAAGAAAGAAAG